CGGCACAGCCGAGCCCGGGGACGGGCTGGGCTCCCTGGTGGTGCCGGAGGGCCTGCCACAGCTCGGGACCGGCGCGGAGCCCAGGCCCTGGGGAGGGGGGGACGCAGGGGGAGCTGGTGTGGGTGGGCGCTGCCGTGGACGCCCTGGCGCCGCGGGAGACCTGTTTGCGGGGAGGCTCCCAGCCCGTGAGACCCCCCGACCTACCTGGGCCTGACCCCCCGTTTCCGGGGGTTACCGGGACATGCGAGTAAGGGTGGTTCCTTTCCTCATGTAAAGCTCGGTTTAGGGTTTCCATGTGGCCGCTCTGAGCCAGAGGTGAGTCCCCAGGAGCCAGAGTGAGGGCCGCAGGGCGCCCCAGCGTGGACAGGGCAAGGGCAGGGAGTGGGCCCTCCTCACGCCGGTCCCCCGCCCCCTGCCCGCCCCAGACAGGTCTGCACGCGTCGGACCAACTTGCTGAACGACAACTATGTTTACAACCGAGATCCTTTCGCTCTCCCATCCAAAGTGTCGCGCACTCTTAAATGACCTGATTGGGTCTCGGGGACCTGAGGGAGGGAGCTCGGGTCACAGGCGGGGGCTGGGGGGCGGTGAGGGCCACGTTCTCAGCACGCCTACCTGTGCCCGTGGCCTTGGGCTCTCGGCTGCGACGAGTGTCCCACAAAAGCCTTCTCCAGTGGGCAGGGACAAGCCCCCGGCCGCAGAGCCTCCTCCTTGGCTGTCCCCCCACCTCCCCTCCATCGTCCCCCAATGCAGGCGCTGGGGGGAGAGACATTCTGGAAAGAACAACTCAGGGCTGGAGACTCTGTAAACGGACAAAGACGGCCGCTCCCAGCCCCTTCTCCCTCCCGAGTCCCTGGAGTCACAGTGCAGCTCGGAGACCGGCCCAGCACGGGGGCCTGGGCGGAGCTAGGCACACACTGCGGCCGCCACCCCCGTGACCGCTCTGGTGTCAGGGGGCCAGATGCTCAGCGCGCCCCGAGAGCCCACCCCCCGCCCCCCCGGAACGACATCTGGGCCGAGGGGGATGGGCAGCGTGGCCCTGACCCCGGGGCGACAGACACGCATCCTCTCTGGCAGCCCTGACTTCCCGCTTCCTGGCCCCTGGGTCCTCCCTCTTCCTCCCTGCGGCCCCGGCAGACGGCAGACGAGGGACGGAGCCGTCCCGCACCCTCCCGCTGGCCCCGGCCCCAGCGGCCTTGCGGGACAGGACGGCCTTTCAGCCTCGTGCTGGCCCCGTGGGGCGGGGAGCAGGGACGGGTCCCACTGACGCTGACCCAGGGGCCATCCGGACCTTTCTGGGAGGAGACCAGTGTCCAGAAGGGCTGAGAGGGGAAATCAGCACGCCCTGGCCGAGCCAGGCCGCGGAGGGCGCGGCCACAGTCTGCGTTTAGACCCGCCAAGGTCGGAGGAGAGGCCGCAGCGCCCCAGGGCTGTGGCACAGCAGGTCCACGTGGAGCCGCCGCTCTGTGGCCGCTCTGTGGCCGACAGGCCTGGCCGGCCTGGCCCTACTGGCCTCCGTGCTCAGAGCCACCCTGCCAGGCAGGCGCCCTCCTCTGGTGGCCGAGTGGGCCCGGCCGGGCCTGGGGCTCTGCCAGGGGCTGCGAAGCTGTGGGTCCGCCGGTCAGGCCACGCCGGTCAGGCCTCGCCGCCTCCGCTTGGCCCTGCGTTCTGGGTCTTTCTTGGGAAAGCACCCAGGCAGCCCGTTGGCCCGGCCCGGCCCGGCCCTGACCCGCAGGCTGGGCCGCCGCTGCCCCTGCCCGCGGGCTCCCCGGAGGTCCCTGTGGCCGAGTAGGTGGCAGCGCTCGGGCCCAGGAGCCAATGTCAACAGCCCCAGCCGCCGGGGCTTCGCCGCCTTGTTTGTGCAGAGGGCGAGTCCCGGCGGGAGTGTCTTCACGCTGGAGGGCGGGGGGTGGGGGGGGCCCCCGCACGGGACACACTTGGTCCCGGGGAGGGGGCAGGCCCCTTTGTCCCCGGGAGGCTCCACCCCCCTGGCAGGCCCCACTGGGCGCTCGGGCTGCCTCTCCACACAGCTCCCCCCATGGGCCGACCCCCTGCCCAGAGCACGGCCTCCACGTGCCCTCCCTGCCACGGCCAACACGGCGCCCCTGCAGGCGGCACACGTGGCCTACATGGGGCTGGGGCCCGCGCACACCCTCTCCTGGGCGGTCAGCCTGTCTGCAGGGCCCTACGCCCACTCTAATCAGAGTCCAGTTTCCAACCGAGGTCTCCGCAGGCTTGGCCTGCCGTCCGGGGGAGCGGGGGGCCAGGGGTCAGCTGGGCGGGGGGCCCTGATGCCCGTGTCTCCCTCGGTGGCCACCCCCGCCTCCGCCCGTCAGTGGGGAAGCTGGGCCAGCACGCGGCAGGCCTCTCCGCTGAGTTAGACAGGAGCCACGCGACCCGGAGGACGGCACTGGGGTCCGAGGGGCCCCCGAAGGTGGGGCGAGGGCTCCGGGCTGCAGACAGGAGCCCGGGTGTGGAAGGCAGGAGTGGCCAGGAGCTCTGCCCGCCCACCCTCCGCAGCAGGAGCGGGCATGGGGTTGGTGCAGGGGAAGGGGCCTCAGGCCCCGGTGCCTCCACCCTCGCCCCTCGGGAACGGACTGCAGCTGCTCCCTCTGGGCCCCCCACCCTGGAGAGGCCCCCCACTCAGTGGACGGTGGGGCCCCAGCCCTGCTGGGGGCTGGTCTGCGGGGGTCTGTGTGGGCGGCGGAGGACGACACAGCGTGTCACCTTCTCCGTCCCTCGGCCGGCCCTTCCCTTGTCCTGCCCATCCCCACAGCAGCCCCGGGTGCGCAGCTCTGGCTGCCGCGACCCCGCTCGTCGTGGCCCCGGGCAGGAGCGGAGCCTGAGAACGACGATGGACATCCGGGGCCCTGTCCCCCTCGTCCCCCGTCCCCCGCCATCAGCCCCCAGCAGGCCCCTAGGCAGCCCTGGCGGCCCCGCTCGTGTGTGTGCGAGTGCAGGACCCCATGGAAATGCGCCCACCTCTGAGCCGGGCTGCCGCAGCCCCCGTGAGACCCTCCGTCTCAGTGCCGTGCCAGGCCAGTGGGGGCCGGAGGAGGACCTTGCTCCCGCAGCTCAAGGCCCGAGGTAAGAGCGATTCTCGCCTGCTCCCAGCCGTCCTGCCCCCCCCCCCCCGCCCCGACAGCCAGCCGGGAGGCCGAGGAGCCCTGCTGCCGCCCGGGGATGGGGGACTGTCCCCTTCCGGGCAGGACCCCCGCTCCCTCCCCTCGCCGGCCCCGAGCCCCAGGTCCCAGGGTTGCCGCCCGCCGGGATGTCGGAGCACTCACCACCCCAGGTCCCAGGGTTACCGCCCGCCGGGACGTCGGAGCACTCGCCGTTTCCGGAAATGCCCGCTTCCTCCTGCTGCTGTCCGGGGTGAGCACCTTGGAGAAGGGAAACTCAGCTCTCCCAGGCCTGGCGTGGGGGGCCCCAGGTGCGCAGCCCCAGCCGGGGTCTCCAGGCCTCTGGGGACGCTGCAGGCACACTTCCCACCCTGCGAGCTGCTCTGGGCGCCAGGTGTCACCCAGGGAGGGGGCTTCTGGAGTCTCTCACCTGCTCGTGGTAGGAAGCTCTCACCTGAAGAGACGCCAGCAGCATCGTGGAAGTCACAGCTACCTGTGACAACGAGGCCACCCTGGGCCCTAAATAACCAGCCCCCACGTTCTGGAGAGTTCTGAGGGAGAGACCTGGTGGGAAGAGTCAGGACCCAGGTGGGCAGGAGCAGAGCTTCCTACACACCCGGGGGCCACGTCAGAGTGGGGTGTCAGCTCATGGGATGCCCCCGCCGGGGAGAGAGGCGGCCCGACCCGTGCAGCGGCAGGTGGAGGGTGGATGCCCCTCCTTGGTAAGTCACAGAAGCAAACCCGCCACGGCTCCTCGTGAGGGCGGCTGCTGGGCAGGGGGGATGTTGGCACCTGCTGCTGGGAAACAGGGCTCTCGCCGCTAAACCCAGAATCCCACTGGCCCAGCAGGCTGGGGTCCTGGAGGACCCAGGGCTCAGCCCCCAAGGTGCCGAGCCCCCCAGGGGCCCAACTGCAGTGCCAGAGCGGACGCTGTTCCGTCCAGCTTGTGCGGGTGGAGGGACTGGAACCCGAAGAGCCCGCCCTGCCGCTGGGAGCTGGGGGCGCAGCGAGCTTGCTGGCGGTCTCTGCCCGTCTCACCGGTGGTCTGGCTAAGCCCCACGGGTGAACGCACACCACAGCGCCCCACTGAGGCGACACCACGGAATGAAACACACACACTCCTGTTTCCAGAAGCACCCTGAGCACGTGAACCGCGCCGGTCACTGGGGAGTGTGACGCTTCTGCGTTCTGCGGCTGAGACGATCACCCCGGGGCGTCAGGATGACAGGACGCCACCCACCCTTCCCTGGCCTTCCCTGGCCTCCTGACACATCCCCCGGCAGCGGCCGCTGCCACAACCGCCGGTGCGGAAACCGTGCTCAGAGCTCCCCGTTCAGAGCTGTCTCCGTGACGGCTGCCTGTGCCGAGCGTGTTAGCACGTGGAGGTGCGAACTGTGAAGATCAGACAGGGAGCCCTCCAGTGAAAGGAGGGTTACTGCTCTGAATTTCTGGGTCTGAAACGTTAACTTCACGTGGGCTTCGAACGCCGAGTGGTATTTTCTATTAAGCAAAGACAGACTAAGGGTTGGTTTTAATAAACACCCAGAGGCCGAAGGGGTGAAACCGCACACCATCTCCCCACAGGAGGGCTGTCCGGCGGACACCCCACGTTGCGGGGTGTCTGTCCCGGGGCCTCCGTCACAACTACCGACCCCGTTTCCAGATTAGCTTCTGGTCTTGGGGTGACGATAACCCAACTCACTTTTTTCTCATCCGAGAAATGAAATGACTCACCAGGACAAGGGTGCCAGAGACCTCTGTAAGTCACAAAACCCCACATCTTCGAAATGACTGCTCGGCACACAGAACAGTTCAAAACCTCTCAGCAGAGGGCCCGCGCGTCCTTACTGCAGACAGTACGACTCAGAGGACAGCGTCTTGTTTCGAGGAAGTTTATTGTTACATTTCTGCAATAATAGATGAGGCACAGCTATCTCCTGCTTCTCCAATATCTCAATAAAAAAGACAATAATCAAGGATAACAGTGGAATTAGGATAAAAAATTACAAAGCCGAGGTTTTAGAGACAAAGATGACTACAGCCTATGTGTAGCAAAGTTGTGAACGGTTTAGTTTCGCCTTGCAAACAGTTCTCTTCTCTGGTCACGACGAATCCCAGAATTCAGAGCCGACGCCTTTGACTCCTTCCTCCCGGGGCCCGGGGACGCCCAGGCTCGGCCAAAAGGCCACGGGGTCGGGGGCTGAGCCGGTGGGGGTCCCGGCCCCTTGCGCGCGCATGGAAGTGAACGAGCAGGTGTGGTGGGCTGGTTCGAGGCAGAGGCGCTCAGACGGGGCTGCCGGCAGGTGTGCGGGCCGAGGGGCCAGCAGCCCGCACTTGCAAGGTGCAGAGGAACAGCGGAACCCTCGCACACGGACACAACCCGGCACAGCGACAGCGGGGCTGCCCCGCTGTCGTCAAAAGCGAACCTGATCTCAGCGCCACCCGGGCTGCCAGGGCCCCCTCCCTCCGAGCTGCGCGGGCGGCCCCGATCCCCGGCACAGCCTCTCCGCCTGTGAAGAGCCACGGGAAGGAGCACGAAACAAGCAGCGTCTTTCTGGCCAAAAATCAAAAGCAGCTGAAACCCTCCAAACGCCGCCACTCAGCCTCGAGCACCAGAGAGAAAGGATCTCATGTTGTCTCCTCATCAAGCACACGGGGGAACAAGGCGGCCTCAGAGGCAGGCTGCCCCTCCTCTTCTGGGCCGGCCTTGCCGCACGATTCAAGCGTATGTGGCCTGCTGACTCAGAGCCAGGAGGGGTGCCAGGGGACACAGGAGGGGGGCAGTGGCTGCAGGGCAAGGGCCCCAGGAGGTGAGAGTCAACCGCAGGGACATCCTGGGGCCAGCCACAGAGGAAGACTTTTCTCTTTTCTGTGAATGCCGGGGGAAGTCCCAGAGCCCAGACAGGCCTCGCAGCAGAGCAGCTCCCAGTGGCGACAGCGGAATGCAGTGTCCTTGTACACGGTGTGGTGCCTGGCAGGAAAGTGGGCCCCCGAACTGGGTGCCAGTGAGCAGCCCGCTCCCGCCCCCAGCTCCCGCCCCCAGCTCCCGCCTGCCCAGCTGGGAGCCCAGGCCGGCAGTGGCCCCTGCTGTGTAGGCGCTAAAGAGGCAGGGACCCTGGGCCGGAGCCCGGACGGCAAGGAGGGCTGAGACGGGAACTGGCTGCAGAAACTCGGGTGCTGCGGGCCGTGGGCTTCCTGCAGGGCAGTGTCAGCGGTGCCCCGGCAGGGGCGTGAACGCAGGCTGTGCTGGTAACCCTGCAGCTGCCGGGCCGAAAGGGCAGCCGACAGCAGGGATCATCAGGAGGGCACTCCTGAGGCGGGACAGTCGCCCGCAAGGCCGGTTGGGTTGTCTTTGCCAGTGGGCGGGGGCGGGCAGGGCGGATCCAGAGTAGTAAGCACCCGTGCGCCTAGAGGGGGAGGGACGCGGCACGTCCACAGACCCGGGGAAGGTGGCGGGCAGGAGGGGCAGCGCACACCGGGACAGTAAGGCAAGACCGCACCCGTGGAGTCCCACCCCGCCCTCCGAGGCGGGCCCCGGGCTTCCCCCGAGGGCCTGCGCCGCCGGGGCCTCTCAGGGACTGGGCACGGGAGCGTCAAAAGGCAACTCGCTCCCTTCGGGAGGTGGCGCCGGGACCCCAGGCGGGCGAGGCGGGGCAGGCGCGGGACTGCGTTAGCAGCATCAGTGTGCACACGGCCTCCTACGAGCTACGGCGGCAGAGCTTGGGGTGAGACCTGCAGGTTAGGGAGAGCGCCGTCCGCAAGGCCGGCCGGCCAGTGTTTCGTCATTAGGGAGAGTGCGCACGCGCGCGCGCACGCACGCTCGGTGACGCTGCGTCCGACGGCGCGGCTGTGCGGGAGAGCGCTGTGCCGCGCCCGCGCGGCCGCCACGGAGCGAGCGCGCGGCGTCTCAGTAGTGTGCACGCCCGGGATCCAGTGGCTGGCGGAGGCCCGCGCCGCGGCCGGGCCGCCTCACTGCAGCATGATGTCCTTCAGGTTCTCCTGCAGGATCGTGTCCTTCACCGCGTGGAACACGAAGCGGATGTTCTCCGTGTCGATGGCCGTGGTGAAGTGGTGGAAGAGCGGCTTGCTGCGGCTCCGGCGCCGGCGGTCGAAGCTCTGCACCAGGAAGCGCTGCACGTCCTCCAGGCGGTGCGGGTCGCCCTGGAAGTCGGGGAAGTGCTTCCGGATGCTGACGCCCTTCACCTTCTCCACCAGCAGGTCCGTCTTGTTGAGGAAGAGGATGATGGACACGTTGAAGAAGAGCTTGTTGTTGGCGATGGTCTCGAAGATGTTCATGGACTCCACGAGCCGGTTGGTGCGCCGGTCCTCCATGAGCACCTGGTCGTACTCGCTGGAGGACACCATGAACAGGATGGAGGTGATGCCGTCGAAGCACTGGAACCACTTCTGGCGCTGCGACCGCTGGCCGCCCACGTCCACCATCTTGAAGGGGATCTTCTTGATGACGAAGTCGTGCTCCACGATGCCCTTGGTGGCCTTCCGCGCCAGCAGGATGTCCTGCTTGCTGGGCATGTAGTTCTGGAAGACACGGCGGCGCAGCGTTAGGGAGGGCGAGCGCGGGGGCGGGGGCGGGGGCGGGGGCTCAGCCTGGCTCTGCCGGAAGTCCGGCCAGACCCGGCCGCGCCGCGTCCTCGCGCTGGAAATGCGCCGGGGCGGGGAGCGCAGGGACCCGGGGGCTCCCTTCCGAGCGCGCGCAGGCCCTCCAGCGTGAGTGAGGGCGCTCTCCGCACCGCCCCCGTGGGTCTCCACGGGGAACCGCGCGCACCGCCTCCTCCACAGGCTGCTAGCCGCCTTTCCCCGCTTCTGCCCACAGCTACCGTCTCGTCCCCCAGCTTCTGCAGCGAATGCGCTCTGAAACCTCGCTACGCAGTACGTTAGCGCGGGCCTTCAGCACACATGACGCCACTCGTGGGAGCGCTGAACGCCTTCAGTGGTGCGCAGGCAGGCAGGCAGGCAGGCTCAGGAAGTCCCAGGACCCGCCGGTCCCACGCGCCTGACCCCCATGCCCACCGCACGCTGCACTGGGGCCGCAGTCTCCCCAGACTGCCCCACAGGGCCACAGCGCCCAGGGCCGGCCCCACTTCCTGGGGCAGATGGGGGCCAGACAGGGGAGATAGTGCGGCTACTCGAACACGCGAAAGGAAAGGAAAGGAAAGGACAGACGGGAGAGAGAACCCCCAGACTGGAGGCCACGGAAGGGGCACGGACCGGCCACCGCCTGTGGGCTTGACGAGGGTGTTGGTTCGAGCTGCTGGGGTGAAGCAGCATCCACCGGGAAGCGTCACTGACTCCCGGGAAGTCCCCAGACTGGCTGGGGAGGGAGCGCTGCGGTGTCGTGGGTCGCACTTTTAGAGCCTTACTGCTCAGAAATGGCTCTGAAATACAGGGTCCGGCGGGAGTAACGCCTGCTTGAGCGTGGCTGGTAGGGTAATAATATGGATGTAATAGTTTATGGATTAAAAAAAATTTTTTTTATTTAATTTCAGAGAGAGGGGGAGAAACACCAACATGTGGTTCCCTCGCAGGCGCCCCCTACTGGGGACCTGGCCCGTAACCCAGGCCTGTGCCCTGACTGGGAACTGAACCAGCGACGCTTCGTCTGCAGACCGGCACTCAGTCCACTGGGCCACACCAGCCAGGGCTCATTTACAGTTTTCATTTGAACACTGCACTTAGAATGTCCTATGGTGTGCTTGCGTGTGACAGTGTTGTTACAGAGCAACATGCTTGTGACTTTGTAATAAAAGCTTCTGTCATAAAACAGGGGGCGTTACCTGTGCCGGGCCCTGTACTGTTGACGAGATCGCACAATGACGGACGTGCCCCTGGGGAGCGGGGTGGGGCCGACGGGACCAGTCGGACCACAGCGGTGACTGTCCGACCTCGGGTTCAGGACACTCTCCGTATCTGTCCACGTCTGACCTTTCCAAGCGGACGGTCAGAGCGCCCGGCCCCGGGTGGGCACTGAGTGCGAGGACTCCCCAGGAACGCCCCCTCACTCCTGATCAGCAGCGACTGCGGGTCTGCGACCAAGGGCGTGAGTGTCCCCCTAGGCTCAAGCAGACCCTCGCCCCAGCACGCACTCCCCGCCGCCCTGCCCCAGCGAGAGTGGGGCGCGGCCACCCTTCAGGCCACCCGGCGCGCCAACACGGCCCGCGTGCAGTGGCGCCGGCGCTGCTCTGGCGCGCTCACTGACGCCCGTGGCCCGAGGGCGGAGCCTGGACGGGCGGCGCTCACTCACCAGCTGGCCGATCCGGTCCAGGTTGTCCAGGAAGTACTTCACCGACTCGCCCTGCCAGGAAGAGAGAACACCCACGACTCAGTCCCCGCGCGGGCCCGGGCCCACAGACGGGAGCACTCGCGTGTCCTTTCACCTCCGCGTGAGCAGGGGGGCGAAGGGACGGGTCCAGGACTGCATGGAGACATTAAAAATAACACGTTTTTAAGTTAAAGAATGCAGTTTCTCCAGTCGTGACCCAGGATTCACGCTCAGGCCGGGTTCCAGAGCACGCTGCTGCACGCCGGCGGTGCTGGGGCGGGCTGGCGTCCCTCTGAGGTCAGGCCTGGGCTGCTCCAGGCGGCGGAGACCACAGAGCAGACCACGGAGATCCCCTCCGGGGAGGGCCCTGCCTGCTGCAGGCGGCCCGCCACACCACGCGCTCCGGTGTCCCCGAACTCGCCTGTCTCCCCTCATGCGTCTGGAGGGCGGGCCTGCCGCCTCCGGTGGGGACCTCCGTGGCAGAGCGATGCGTCCTGCTCCATCCCCTACACACTCTGGGTCGGACGCCCGCGGGCCACCCCCTGGCTGGGAGCGCAGCGTCAGGTCAGCCGTGGGGCACCGGGGGCACCCACACGCTGTGCCAGTGCCGGCCCCTGCAGAGCCGACCAGACAGGTGGCTGGTGAAAACCCCCAGTGACCCCGCCCCCGGGGCACTGCTCTCCGGGGTGTCGCTGGGGCAGGGCGCCGCTGGGGACCAGGGTCTGAGGTGCTGCAAGCCCCGGCCTCCCAAGGCTCTGTGGGCGGCGGCTGCGGAGTACGCACCCCAGCGCACGTCTCAGAAAAATCGAGGCGGTGAGGCCGCACGGCGCGCGGGCCGAGGGTCCGGACCCCGGCGGGGGATGGCATGGGGAGGCACGAGTGACAGCCCCAGCCTGCGAGTTTGCAGGAGAGGCGGCGGCAGCTCCGGACCCACAGTTCCCCAGTGTCCCAGACGGGCGCACAGGAGAGCAAGGAGCACGTCCCTTCCCTCTGGCGAAGCAGCAGCAGCAGCCCCCCCATTCCAGAGCGAAGGCCTCTGGATGGTTTCAGGGGACAGGCGCACACCTGCCCCCCGCCCCCCCACCCCCGGCAGAGCACAGAGGACAACGAGAAAACTCGGTGTCCCCCATGACACTGGGGACGCTGCACGGCACCGTCTACTGCAGAGGCGAGCGCCACCGGGGAAGGCACCCTCGGCTGCAGGGAGAAAGAGGCCGCCTGCCCCGCACCCAGTTCCCACCCCCCAGCAGCCCCCCCACCCCCTGGATGTGGGGAAGCGCGCACCCCCCGCCGGCCGCTCCACTCCCGGGTTCTCGTTTGTCGGCACATCCAGCGCCCCCCCGGCCCCCACCCCAGGGCGGACAGGAAACGGTCGGTGAGGGGGCAGCTGCACGGTGACCTGACTCCTGCCCCGCTGGGGCGCCCTGCTCTCCCCCGCTGCTGCTGCTGCTCACGTATGGGGGCTGTGGGAGAGCCCCTGGAGAGCCCCCCGTGGGTGCCCTCAGGGCTGTCACGCCCACGCCGGCACGGCAGAACCGGCCCTCGGTCTCGCCACGTCAACTGCCCGCCCGAGTGAAGACGCCGACGTTAGCTGGAGCATCAAGTGACACTCGTGATGCCCAGGGCACAATCCACAGCACCCGCCGGGCGGAGAGCCGGGAAAGTGGCTCCGCCCCTCGAGGGACAGCCCAGATAGGGAGTTGCTGGACCAAGGCTTTCAGGCGGCCACTCTAACGGAGCCCCAGCGGGTGGTACCGCGCTCGCAGCGGGTGAAGACTCGCCGCGTCTCAGCAGAGGAGCAGGAAGCACGAAGCGCTGACGGAGAGGGCGGCACCGGCACTAGAGCATCTGCAGCGAGAGGCCCGGTGGGTGGGCTCGGGAACGACTGCAGACGACACAGGAAAGGGCCGTGAGCTCCGGACTCGGGGTGCCAGAGCCGACCCAGCCCCAGGAGGGGAAGGAAGCATGGTAAATAGACAGAGACGGCCACGGTGGGGCGACCTCGCAAGGTCACCCGGACGCCCTCACGGAAACCGACAGCAGAGCACAGGGAGGCTCAGACAGGAGGACTGCTTTTTTAAAAAGGCAAGAACTTTCCAAATTTGATTAAAGACATAAATTCACTGATTTCAAGAAGCTCCGCCACCCCAAACAACAAGTGCAGAGGAATCGCACATGGGACCCTGGACGGCAGGCTTCCGGATGACCCGCAGGCCGGAGAGGGAACGCCCTGGTCTGGCCGGACAGGGGGCTCTCGTCCTCACGTCACCGAGAAAGTGGAGCCGACCGAGAACCGAGACTCCTCTTAGACTCGGCAGAGCAGCGACGTCACCGGGCCCCGGGCCTGCCCCTCACACCGCCCCCACTGGCGGGCCAGGCGCATGCGGGGAACTAGAGCTTGTCAGGGACGAAAGCGGTGGCTGTGGCCCGCAGCTGACACACCGTGCCCAGCCTTGGACGGAAAACCACGAGGCGTGCCGCAGGGCGAAGGCCACGGTGTGAGGAGAGCACGCGAGCACCGGGACCGGGCTCAGACACGGCAGAGGGGTGGGGACTGACGGGTGGGACATGTGAAAGGGCTACGACTGCTCTGCTAAGGGCTTGGACGGGACAAGGGCCCCTGAGCAGAACGGGCGGGTGACGGGGGCCGCGGGGATGCTCCCGGAGTCAGATGGGAGTGCTGGGAACCAAGGGCACGGGCAGCTGCCTGGACCTGCGCTTGGCCCTGCAGTGTGTGTGGGGGGGGGGCGGGGGGGGGCATCGGACGCGTCTCCAGGCAGACGGGGTCAGAGCGTGCTGGACAGCAGGGCGCCCGGCTGTGGCCCGGGGAAGCCGAGGCCTGAGCCCCACGCACCTGGTTCCGGGGGGTTCTGTGTGAGAGCAGGACTGTGCTTCTCCCCCAAGTCCACCCAAAGGGACATACATAAAAAAGGACAATACGTCATTTTAACAAGTGGTTTTCAACAGACACAGAAAAAGATCTGATGGAAGCCCACATCCATCCACGGTTAAAGACTGCCACCAGCTGCACGGGAGGCACTTTCTCACCGACAGTGACGGCACACCAGACGTCGTCATCGGAAGACCGGGTGCGAGGGGAGACGCCCACGGTAACTGCTTCCGGCCGGCACCACGGGGGCCCAGGCAGCGGGCAGACGCAGACACGGACGTGGGCAGGCGAACGAGGGGCGTGAGGACGAACCGTGAGAAAGACAACTGACCCCACCACCGGCGGCGGCACGGGAGACCCGGGGGATCTGAGAGAAAGCCCTCGGCGAGTTGGACTCGGGCTCTTTAGGGCCTGCGGGGGGAGACCCGTGTCCTCGCCGACCCGTCCCGACAGAACCGCCCACCTCCCCTAACACCGCGAGGACAAGACCAGACAGGCACGCGTGTCGGCGGCCACCAGGGATGTCGCCGCGGCTCAGTGCGTGGCCGTCCACCCTGCGTGCACGAGTGGCAGTGTCGGCGGGAGAACCGCCACCCCAGAGGACGCCGGCAGCACGGTCGTCACAGCCGAGGCCGGCGGGCGGACCCGTGGCTGGCAGCGCAGCAGGACAGCAGAACCCGGGCGGGGTGTGTCTGTGCAGGGGGGCACGGGGGCGGGGCGCACCGGAGGAACCAGCACCATGCGGCCCGCGCCGTGTGGCCCTCTCCAGGTCAGAGCACCGTCTCTGCAGCCTCCTCCTCGACACGGAGTCCCTGCTGTGCGCCTGGCACCACTCCGAGGGCTGGTCCCGTGTGGGCTCGGTCGGTCTCCAAAGGGAAAGTGTCCTCTCCCCACCTCTCCGCCCCTCCTGCCAGCAGGCCGCTCTGGCGGGAAGCAACCTGGGGCTTTGTCATGTGACCACAGGCACGAGCAGTGGCAGGACGCTGCTGCATCTTGGAAGTTTGAAACATGGAAAACCGCCCGGTGCCTTGAAGCCGAGGACCCAGAGCCCATGGGGAGAGCCCCGAGTGCCAGGCGGGCCCCGGTGCGGCCAGGTCTGTGCGAGCTCACCCGGGGCTGCTCTTGCCCGTGACCCGCGTCTCGGCCGGGGGAGGGAGGGAGGTGCTGAGGGGTGACAAGAAGGCCGTCCGTGGCTTTCCCAGGCCGACGTCCGAGCACTGCCGCCCTTGGTGGGCCACACGGCCACCCTGTTCTGCGCACACCCCGTCTCGGCCCGAGGGCTGGCCGGCCACCGGGGACGTGCCCGCCCCGCGGCCTCCCCAGACAGCCCACACGGAGCTCCAAGCGCACACGGAGCTCGCCTGTGCTTTATCCCAAAGACACGCCTGGGACACGATGGGGAGCCCCGAGGACGCCACGCCACAGGCCCTGAGGGTCCAGGCAGTGCTCACACGCCCCACGAGGACCAGCAGGCCAGTCTCGTAAAGCCTGTCGCTGTCCCTTTAAGTCTTCCCAACCCCCAGCTCCCAGCCCGGCTCACTTCCTTGCACAGGCTGCTTATCCGGGAGCTAAGTTTAGCCGCCACCATTCCTGGTCCTCCCTCCAGGGACGTCCCAGGCCTCGGCCCTGGGGCTGCCCCAGCGACCCACCGGGCCCTTGTTTGCAGGGACACAGCGAGAGGCTGTCAGCCCCCCGGGGGACAGGGTCCCCCCTCACTAGTTGTGTTGGGGGGTCACTCTCCTGCGGGACCCCTGCCTCCCCGCAGCTCCTGCTGTCCTTCCCGGTTCTGACGAGGCCGGCCGGCCAGTGCACGCGGCCCATGACTCATCCCGGGACGGGCTGTTGTTCTGCACCCAGGGCAGCCCGATTCAGACGGAGTCGCAGACACAGACAGACCTCCCGGAACCCAAGCCCTCTCCCGCCACCGAGAGAGACGCGGCCGGGGAGTCTGCGCAGGGGCCCAGGGGCGGTTCGAGGCCCGCCCGGCGGGCTCCCCGCGGACCGACCGCTCTCTGTGCCTGCTCCCCTCCCACGAGGCCCGTGGTGACCCCCTGCCCGGAGCCCCCTCTGGCTGAGACGCGGGGATGGCTTGGGCTCTGCGAGGGGTGCACCTCCCGTCCACTCGGCACGGGGACGCCGACGC